AACAATGCTTGGATGTATGGGGCTTGTGGTGCAAAGGACTGGGGCGTGTGTGCGGTCTGGCAGCTATGTTCCCGCCGTCGCCGCCCCGTCGCCGCCTCGTCGGCGCCCGTCGTCTGGGCCGTGTGGGCGGTCTGGCGGCTATGTTCCCGCCGTCGCCGCCCCGTCGCCGCTTCGTCGCCACTGTGCCTGGGTTGTGAAGCAAAAGCGTGTAGGATGCTGCGTGGGATGTCGAGGGAGGCCACGCGCGGGTTTTTTGGGGCCGTTTGCGGGTCCCTTGTGTTTGAGCATCTGGGGCCGTTTTGGGTGCCCGCGGCCGTCTTGGAGTCTGCGTGGGTCGGCATCCTCATTCCCGTCGCCATTATCATCGTCATGCTCGTCCTCATTCTCTGACTCCGTTTGCCTATTATTTTCCTCCTCGTCATCCTTCCCCTCCTGGTCCTCCTCCTCATCATCGTTCTCCCCTTCGTCGGTCCCTTTTTGGTACCAAAGGCGACAGTGATGTTTCCGGAAGGCTTTCCGGGAACACGATGGCTTGGGCCGTGTCGGGGCCCTCGTGGGTGGTTCCGGGGTTGCCAACACGAAGCTGCATCGCTCGACGGACGGCCCGGCGGAATCAATTGAGAATCTTCAAACGTTGGATGAAGAGGTGAAGCGTGGAAGTAAAATGGAGGAAATGGGAGGTAAGAAGGCACAAACGGTTGGAGCTGGGAAAGCCAAGAAAAGGAGGGTGAGATTGAGCGTGGGAGATTCAAGAAAAAAGAGGATCGCAATGTCCTTCGCCCATCCCGCTGTGGGTCAAAAGCCTGTCACTGGGATGTTGGGTGGGCTGTCGAAGGAGGCCGCGCGGAGGTCTCTTGGAGTCCCTTGTTTGGGTCCTTTGTTTTTGAACATCCTGGGCCGTAATGGGCGCCCCTGGGGCCGTCTTGGAGCCCGCGAGGGCCAGCATTCTCATGGTCGACGTCCTTATCATCATCAGTAATGTCAGTTTGTGATGAACAAATCCGTGGGGGCGCGCGTTTAAACACATAGTTCCCCCGCTCGGGCGAATCGTGGGGTGGCGCCCGCCAAATTGAAAATCAACGGGGCGGCGCTGGTGATTAGCGCCGACGCCCGGCCGCCAACGAGTGGCAAGGGGGGGTGTTTGGAGGCAAGGGCGGACCAGGGCGCCCGTCTATCTGTCGAACCGATGCGGGCCTGCGGGCAAGGCGGGCTGGACGAAAGCGGGGCGCAGTACAGGGGGGGATTTGCCAACCAGCTCACGTGGCCGATTTTCCAAGCGCCTCCTGGCGCCGAAATCGGCCATGCGTCGAGGACTGGCCCTTCGGCGGGGCGACCGAAACCAGCTGCGCGCAGCAGGCTTTGCAACCCCCCTTTTCCTCCTCCTCCTTTTCCTGCTTTTCCTCTTCCTCGTCCTCTTCCTTCTCCTCCCTCCCCCTCTCCCCCTCCTCTTTCCTCCTTCCCCCTGGCGCGCGTGATTTAAAAAAGAGTATCGCGCCCCGCGGGGTTTATTCATCAGCCCGGGGGAGGGGAGGGGGGGGGCGGGGGGTTGGCCATTTGTTACTCACGAGCTGACGCTATGCGAGGGGAGTTGGGCCTGTGTGCGGTCATATATCATTAATGATATTAGTAGTATCTGTAGCATTATTATGATGATGATGATGATGATTATTATTAGTATTCGTATTATTATTATTATGAATACTCGTATTCCTGGCCTGCGCCCGTGGAGACAATCATTGACTTCAGGTGCTGCGCGCGACTTCACAAAAAAAGGAGCAGCTTCCGGACCAAGTTCTGGCACGTACGCGGGCTAGGTCCGAAACAGAGGATTTCTGAACTCTCGGCCTCGTCCTTCCTGTAGACAGACCCTATCTTTCAACTTTGCATATCGAGATGTTTAGAATCCTCGGCTCGGCGCGTGATTTCTGGGAGCCGTTCGCCACGGGGACCCGCCCTCCCCCGTGGCCTCAGCTTGGAAATTGTGTCTGTTGATTCCTGGGCGCGGCTCGCCACGGGGACCAACCCTCCTTGAAATAATATCCATGGCAAGGCTCGCGCTTCTTACTTCTTGGCCCGTCGTCACAAGAAACACCTGTGACCCTGAGACGGCCCGACTCCCCTCCTCTCATTCTTATCCTCATCACCTGCTCCCGTTTGCCGTCTTCTTTTCCTCGTCCTCCTCCTTCATTTCGGTCTCCTCCTGGGACTGGCGGCAACAATCATGTTCCCCGGAGGCTCTCCAGGAACATGACGCTTGTGGGCCGTGTGGAGGCCCTCGTAGAGGGTCTCAAGGTAACCCACACGATGTTGCACAGCCCGACGGACGGCCCGGCGGAATCAGTCGAAAACCTCGGGAAGGGGGCTGAGGAGGTGAAGCTTGGCAGTAAGATTGAGGAGTTGTGAGGTCGCAAAACAAAAAAACGGTTGGAGCTGGAAGGCCACGAGAAGCAAGGTGAGATTGGGCATAGGGGGTTTGCGAAAGTGCCCGGCATGGCCTTCGGCCCATCCCGCCATCGTGCCTGGGTTGTGGGCCAAAAGCCTGTAGGAGGGCTCTCTCGGGGGCCGCTTTTGGGCCTCCTTGGGGCAGTTTTGAAACCTTCTAGGGCGTCGAAGGACCCGCTTGGGGGGCTCTTGGGGTCTCGTGGGGGCCTCTCGGGGCCTTCTTGGGCCTTTTTGCACGGAAGACTCGGATTTTCGGTTCATGCTCCGCCTCTTGAGCCACTCTTGGGGCTGACTTGGGGCCCTCTTGGCCAGACAGTCTTGGGCGCCCCTGGGGCTGTCTTCGAGCCCTCTTGGGCCGTCCCGGGGCTCGCCTGGGGGTCTGTTGGCCCGTCTTGTGGCGGTCTTGGGGGCCTCTTGATCCGTTTTGGATTGTCGGGGACTCGAAAAGTGGAGGACCCCCAAACCACTGGAAAACCCAAGGGGATCATTCATTTTTGTTTCTCCGTGCACTCTTCTGGAGCATCGGGCGCCCCATAAGCCTGCCCGGGGTCGTGCTGCCGCGGCCTGGAAGCCTTCGGAGGCCGTTCACAAACCATCTTCGGGGTGTGATGGACCAGCCCGGCAGATTTTCGTACAAATGTTTGGTCCATCTGTGCGCCCACGGGGCCACTTTGGAGGCCACGACGACGCTCGTGGGGCCCCTGGAGCGGCCATGCGTCACGAGGGTCGTGGCCCTGGGCCCGCCCGCGGCCTCCTTCGATACATATATATATATATATATGCACATATGTATATATATATATATATACAAGTGGCACGTGTGTGCCCAGGCTCATACAACAAGCTGAAGGGGCGTTTGAAGCAGGAGTGACATGCAACAGCGAAGTCGCACTCGAGCGCAAGTGAGGTTGCCACACCTTGCGATGTGTGTACCAGGGCCCCCCAGGAAGCCTCAGGAGGCCCGACTTGGATACCAGAAGAGGCTCCAGGAGGCCCCAGGATTGTGAGTGTTGTGTGTGTGTGTGATGTGTGCTTTGTGTGGTGCGTGCTTTTTTGTGTGTTGTCGTGTGTGTGTGTGTGTGTATGTTATGTTTGTCTAGCGTGTGATGTGTTGGGCGTGATTTGTGTCTCTGTGTGTGCATGTAGTTCTGAAGCCCCAGGAGGCCCCAGGAGGCCCCAGGCGGCCTCAGCAGGCCCAGGAGAACTCCAGGAGGCTCCGAGGCGGGGTCTGGGGTACCAGGAGGCCCCCAGGAGGCTCCGAGGAGGGGTCTGGGGCTCGATTTTGGGAGGATGTCTCAGGCGAAACCGCCATTCTCTGAGAATCGGGGTCAAAATTATTGAAATTACCATGTGTTTTTGAAGGTTTTATGTTAAAATGTTGAAATTCCTATGTGTTTTTGGACCTCTCCTTCACGATCTGCGTGAGGGGTGCCACCGATTTTCAGAATTTTGAGGATGTCCCGAGCGAAACGGCCGGGAAAATCGAAGACGCACGCACGCACGGACGCACGGACGCATTAATCCCCTCTGAGCTCTACTCCCTCGGAGAGGTGCGTATGAGAATATATATATATATATATATGTGTATATATATACATACACACATGCGCACACAAATTTAAAGGCGTGTGGTTCTTTATCTATGTACATCTGTGTACACATTTGTACATGTGTTTATGTATATATGTATGTATGTGTGTGTGTCTGTCTGTACGACTGCCTGTCTGTCTGTCTGTCTGTCTGTCTGTCTCTGTATGTGTGCAGGTTTATGTTAGTGGGCGTGTATGTGTATATGTATACGCATCTGCGTGGGTAAAGGCATACGTATATGCGCATGCGCATGTACATGTAGTTGTAACTGCGCACGTGTATGCATCTGCAGCTGTATATGTTTGCGTATGTGTATGAATATGCGTATGTGTATACACATGTGTATACGCATGTAGAGGTATGAGTATGTCTAGGTGTAGGTGTATGTATATGTGTATTTGAATACTGGTGTTGTGTGTAGCTGTCCGGTCATATGTCTACGCATCTGTATTTCTACAGATAAATACACATGTGTACATGTATGCCATTCTATATGTCTAACAGTAGCAGGTTGCCCATGCATTCACACACCTATGTGCGTGTATGACTGTGCACGTGTACGTACATAAATACACACATGTACATATATATATATATACACATGTAAATAGGTGTGTGTGTGTGTTTATACACATATTGTATATCTACACACATACATATATATGTATATATATATATATATATATATATATATATATATATATATAGGCGCCGGCTGTTCATCCATGGTCGTTCTTTGGCGGTCCCGGGGCGCGGCGAAGGCCCCCCTATGGCCGAAAGCGTCCGGAAACCTCCCCTCGCGACTTCCTCACGACGCGAGCCTGTGCTCAACGTCGGTCCCCGAACCAATCCTGGGGCCACAGCGCACCAATGCTCCGAGCTGCGCCCCGCCGTGGCGACGAGGGGCCCCCCCGAAGGCCAGCTGCCGCCGTCTCGGCTCGCCCTCCTCTGACCCCCGTTGCGTGCGCCCCGATCCTGAGCGTACCCGCCCCCCGGCCCCACGTAGGTCAGCACGTCCCGGCCGCCCCCGCAGCAGGACGAGCCGCAGTCCTCGCCGCCGTCCACGGCCCCCCTGGGGCCGATGCCGGCGCCGCTGCCGCAGGCGGCGGCGCAGCAGTCCTCGCCGGCGACGCTGGCATAGCCGCCGCGGAAGCCCGCGCCGTAGCCGCCGCTGTGGTACCTACAAGGTCTGTCAACCATGAACTGGCGGTTTTTGTCTCCGGCGCTTGCGCAGTCGGCGCGGCGCCACTTCAAGGCTGGCATGAGCATGAGGCGATTGGCCCACGAACAAGGGTGTCCGAAATCCAGCCGTGTCCTCGCAGCACCGAAGAGCGCGCTTTCTGACACGTGCCTGGACCATCGAGCGCTTCGATTTTGAGCGGCGTTCCGATTCTATGTTTGACGAGGGAACGAGGGAGGGAGGGAGGGAGGGAGGGAGGAGGGCCAGTCGAGACAACGGCGGCCTTTCCTGGCGTGTGCTGCTGCTTCTGGGCCTCCAGCCTGCCACGGCTGGATCCGCCTCGCACGCCTGGCCTGCTCGGATCCCAGGATTTTGGAGCGGCCGGGCGGGGAGGGCCGCCTCCGCCCTCGCGTGTCCTCGCTGCCTCGCTCGCTCCTCCTGGCTCCCTCCCTCCCCCTCTCGCTCCCCCCTCTCGGCTCCCCTCCTCCCTCCCCCTCCTGGCCCCCCTCCCCCGCCGCCCTCGCTCGCTCGCCCGAGGGGGAAGTAGAGCGCGGCACGAGCGCACGCTTTTGGAGGCCCGCGCGAGCTTCTTGTTCTCCGGCCCTCGCTGGGGCCCCCCCGGGCGGTGCACCCGGCGCGGGCCCAGGAGATCCGCGCGGACCTCCGCAGATTTTTGCTTCTGGGACGCAGAAGGACATACTAGTAACTACTGTGTGTCCTCCTTGGCGGCGTGCGTCCGACCAGAGCATGCAGCACAAAGGTCTTGTAGCGGCTCGTTTCCTCAGCGGAATGGCCAGAAAGCGCCCACCACGGAGCCGATACTTTGAGACTTCTCGGCGCGCGCGTCGCCTTTCTGGGGCGACGCAGACATGATATTAACAGGTTGCGGCGAGGCCGGACGTATGCCGTTCCTGTTCTTCAGCAGGAGCCGGCAGTCCTGGCAATCCTATAGGCCTACCACGGAATGTTCTTCGAACGAAAGTAGGCGCGAGTCATAACAACACATGCTTCTAGACCATGCAGCCGATGCGTCAAAGCAAGACGGTCTCAGCCTGAAATGTCGCAAGAGCATCTCCTGCACACCACACACGTCCTCAGAACACTCGTCGGTGGGCCCACGGGCAGGCTAGGGACGCCTCGCCGCTGCCTGCATTTCCGTTCTTCGGGTACCCGGCGCCGCCGGCAGCAGCGGCGCCGCCGTAGCCAGCGCCACCGTACCCCGCGCGGCCCCACATCGCGGGCTGTCCCTGGGCGGCGCGAGGGCGGGGGCAGGCAGCCCAGGTGCGCTGGGGGGGTCCCAGAAGCCTTGCGCCGAAACGGCTACGGGATGAGGAGGACGCTCGCTCGCTCGATCTCGCCCAGATCAGTCCGATACGCGATCAGCAGGCGTCTTCGTGATCCTGGGGGGGTATGGATAACGAGCTACTGCGCACCAGCAGCAAGCCCGCCGCGTGGATGTCGATCCTCCCATCCACCTGCTTGGGTGTCCCAGGAACGGGTGCTGCGGCCAAGGCCACAACACGGTCCCACTGCGGCGCGGTCCCTCGCGAATATAGTTCTGCCATGTCGCGATCCCTTCGGACACCCTGTCGGTGGCCATCCCGTGCCACCCCGCCCTCTCCCCTCCTCTCGCTCTTCGCTGCCTTCCCTGGGGGAACAAATCAACATAAAGGAAGAGGGGGGATGCTCATGAGGATGGCTGGGGATGATGAGTGGTAATGCTGATGGAAAGCGAGGGTTGCGATGAAGGAGGGTGAGGGTGAGGATGAGGGGGATGATGATGAGGAGGATGATGATGATGGTGGAAATGATGCGAATATGGTGCTGCTGTTGATGATGATGCGGTTGATGACGATGCAGATAATGATGGTGATGGTGCTGTAATGAAGATGATGATGAAGATGATGATGATGCTGATGATGATGATGGTGGTGGTGATGGTGATGATGATGATGATGATGATGATGATGATGATGATGATGATACTGATGATGATGGCGGAGGGGTATGATGACGGAGGACGAAGTCAAGGCTGGAGGAGGGGCAGGAGGAGGACGATGATGAGGAGGAGGAATGAGGAGGGGGATGAGGGGGGAAGGAGGAGGAGAAGGAATGGGGGGAGGAGGAGGAGGAGGAGGAGGAGGAGGAGGAGGAGAAGGAGGAAGAGGAGGATGAGGAGGAGGAAGGGGAGGAGGAGGAGCGGATGAGGAAGAGGAGCGAGGGGGAGGAGGACAAGCTAGGTGCGCTCGCGTCATATCTGACGTCCTACCTCTCACTCCCATTCCTTACCATGGCGTGGCAATGATCCCGAGAGGGTGCATGATGCATCGTAGAGCACGGCATAGCAGGGCGTAGAAGAGCACGGCAGACCGTAATATGTCATAGCACGGCGTGGCGTTGCATAGTGAAGAATTGCATCACAAAGCATTGCAACGCAAATAATGACATCGAACAGCGGCACATAACAGAGCACGACATAGCATGGCGTTGGAGATCAAAGCGTAGCATGGCATAGCATGGCGTGGCACTGCGTAGTCAAGCATTGCATCTCCTAGCATTGGAGCTGAAGGCATGGCATCGCACAGCGGAACACCACATAGCAGTGAATTGCATGCCGTGGCATGGCACTGGAAATACTGACGCCAGCGCTACAGCGGGAGCACGATACTGAACGAGTGGAAGCGCGGAAATGAGGCCAGCGCTGCAGCGGGAGCACGATTCGGAATGAGCGGAAGCCCGAAAATGAGGCCAACGTTTCACTGGGAACAACATTTTGAAGCACAAACTCAAGCGACAACCCAACTCCCGGGAATCCCGTGCTGAAGAAGCAATACGCCGAGGGGGGCCGAATATCTTCCGGACGTCATCAGGGTAGACAGGAGAGTAGTATTCATATTGAGTAGGTAATTGTGGAGGAAGAGGACGAGGAGGAGGGGAGGAGGAGGGGGAGGATGAGGAGAACGAGGAGGAGGAGGGATAGGGGAGACGACGAACAATCGCCTCAACTGCGACGATGCCGTTCGCTTTCAATTTCTCTATGCCGCTCGTGAGCCACTGGACCTTCGCGTTCTCGGCCTGGTGGGCAGTAGCAGAGCAGGAATGAGGACGGAGGGAGGGAGGATGAGGAGGGGGAGGAAGAACAAGACAATGACGAAGATACGGAGGAGCACCTCTTCACTCATTCTCCTGCTCCTCGTCCCCCCTCAGTCCCAACGCGACCGTGCGCCCCAATGCGCGAATATCGAACCCCCCAGAATCCCATGGATGCCCCGGCTGCCTCCCTCAGACAAACAAAACGCACGTGGAAAGGGGTTGGCGCAGGCGAATAACAAAGAAGAGGAAGAGGAGGTCACGTAAGGTAAGGGCGGTCCCAAAAGGCCTGTCGATGACCCTAGGCGCGTACTGGTCTCTGCCCGTTCTTATGCATGCACGCCGTGCGCATATGTTACGAGAGGGCTACCTACTCCGCGTAAGATGCCCTTGGCGTGCCGTTGGGGCGTCGGCAGAGGGACCCTCGCCTTGCGTATGTACATCATGCCAGTTGTCCAGATGGGCATAGGTCTCACTACTATCAGGTCTCACTACACTCACAGGTCCACTATCACTGACATACTTTTGTTAGTGAGATGTCAAAACACATGATCATGTATCGAGGGCGGTGTGGGTGAGATGTCTTGATTCATCCTCCCTCCTGGTGCTCGTCATTGTTTCTCTCCTCGCGTTCTTCCTCTGGACTCCACCCTCCTCGCGCGCGCGCGCGAAGGGACTTTTTGGCGTCGAGGCCCTGCGCGCACCGACAGAGCGGAGAAAAGCACGAACGGACACGACACGCGCACACGCCCACACGCAAGCACCCGCGCACGCCCACTCGCCTGCACCTATTCACCCACCAATCCACCCATACCCCCACCGCCACAGCCACAGCCACAGCCACAGCCACAGTCACACACCCCCCCCACACACACACACACGTACACACAAACACAAACACAAGCACAATCACAACCACAAACACACAAACACACAACCACACACAAACACAAACAAACACACACACAAACACACACAAACACACACAGACAAACGCAAACACACACAAACACACAAACACACACAAACACACACAGACACACACACAACCACACACAAACACAAACACATACACACACAGAAACAAACACAAACACACACACAAACACACATGCACACACATGCACATACATGCACACACACATGCAGGCACACACGCACACGCACACGCACACGCACACGCACACGAGCACGCACACCAGCACGCACACGAACACGCACACGCACACACACGCGCACGCACACGCACACGCACACGCACACGCGCACACGGGCACACGCGCACACGCGCACACGCGCACACGCGCACACGCGCACACGCGCACACGCGCACACCCGCACACGCGCACACGCGCACACGCCCACACACGCACACACGCACACACGCACACACGCACACACGCACACACGCACACACGCACACGGGCACACGCGCACACGCGCACGCGCGCACACGCGCACACCCGCACACGCGCACACGCGCACACGGCCACACACGCACACACGCACACACGCACACACGCACACACGCACACACGCACACACGCACACACGCACACACGCACACACGCACACACGCACACGCACACACGCACAAGCGCACACACGCACACACGCACACACGCACACACGCACACACACACACACACGCACACGCGCACACCCCATAGGGAGCTCCACCGAATGCCCCAGTGGGTGCGTTCGCATGCAGCCGCCGCACCCTGTTTTCGGCACACCGTCGCACGTTTCGTGGCCCCATATGGAGCTCAACCGAAAACTCCAGTGGCTACGTTCGCATGCGTATAGAAGATGACGTGGAATACCCTGACCATGGGGTAGATCCACACGTGGGGGTCACGCAGCAACACGAACTCTGCGCCGCACAGGAGGCGGTGCAGGGT